CTTAGGGACTGTGTGCCCTGGGATCAGGCTCCGACAGTCAATGAACAATTAGGTTAGGCTTGGTCTAACCCAATTTAGTCCCGGCTAGTCATGGGCTAAGCTGTGTTGCTCAGTTAAAACACATACAACCTAACCCCTTAAGCGTATACAACCTAACCCCTAACTAGCTGGGCCTAAACTGGGTTGACCCAAGACTTAACCATCTCCTCATACACAAGACCGGACAACCCAATTTCATTTCACGTCAATGGATCTTATGACTACTTGCACTTAACATAAAGAACCAAATATTACCAAAATAGGCAATGAACTTTGGTTTTTGTCCATATTTAGGTAACCATGTTTTTTTCGTACACATTTGACCAGTAAACTTGTTTGACCTGTTCATAATAGAGTAATGTTACCGCTAATTACCAGTCATATTACCCTATTTTGAACAGGTCAAACAAGTTCAATGGTCAAATGTGAACGAAAAAAACATGGTTACCTAAATGTGGACAAAGACCAAAGTTCGTTACCTTTCTAGGTCATTAACCCGGTAATAAAAGATAGAATGTAGTTAACTCATCCATATTCTTCTATTTTTTTATAACAATATCAATATTCTTCTATTTTTTTAAACTGGCAACTAACCTACTCCTAAAACCACCTATGTCTCCTAATGAAACTTGAACCCATGACCTCTCATTTGAGAGTGTCACTCCTTACCGTTAGACTAAAGACCCTTTGATTCTTCTATAAATCATATTCTCATCGAGTGTCATACGTACCAATATGTTTTGAAAAATGGTTATCACTGACACACCAAAACTATTTTTTATATACTTTTAGTATATGTTTTAATTAATAAATATCATAATATATAAATTAATCGATATTAAAAATATAATATCTAACAGTATCAGGTGTTGTGCTAGATCTGGTCCAAAACAAACTATTGTAGGGGATTTATTAAAACTGATGAATTCGGAATATGATAAAGTAGCTCCTGGGTGGAGAACGACCCCTTTGATGGGTGTCGCAATGGCTCTATTTGCGGTATTTATATCTAGTATTTTGAAGATTTATAATTCTACCGTTTTATTGGATGAAATTTCAATGAATTAGATCTATAAAAAACCCCAACTCCTAGCTTTTCAATAAAAATGAATCATTTAGAGCAAGATTAGAATAAAAAATTGATAGAAAAACAAGGATATGGGTTCATGTGAGTAAGCAACAAAAACTATCTATTCTAGTTTTATTAACAGATATGTGGTTGAATATAAGAGAAAGTCTAGAGAATATTTGCTATCATGAACTATTTTTGTCTTTTCAAAATGATAAAAGACAAATAGGGTCAAAAGAAAATCCTATTTTGGAGTTTTATCAACAATTTGCTTGTGTAGAGGGAGATTCGGTATTTTCTGAATCGTTATCTAAGGATTTACAAAAAAAATGATTCATATTTTTTTTACTACTTTCTCATATTCTATTCATTTTTATTTGACCTTCGTGGAGTTCATTCTCCGAACAACTCCGTTTGACCGGTGAATTCCTTCAAATCTACTTCTTTTATGATCTCGTAGGAAATCATATAAAGATAATTCTTATTTGATATAACTATTTGTGCAAGTATTTAACCATTAAGATGCAACAGTCTCTTGTATGGACCGTTTATTAATCTACTATAACTATAACATACCCCATTTCACGAATTGCTGCATTTATTCGAGTGAATGCCCTTAAAGTCTGTATACGATACATAGACTCTTGTAACCATGACATATTTTCTATTTGCTTACTTAAACATAATTTCTTTCTAAAAAAGGAATTGCTTAATTCCACAGAAGAAAAAGTCATTTTTTCCGAGGTTTAACTATAAATTCTTATGAAATCGATCATAGATTCATTCCCTTCTTGGGGAGCATCTCGAATACATCCCTAATTCTGAGCTTCATGTTACTCCTACCAAGAAACATGTCAGGTACATGCATCCCGATTGGATTAAATGATTGGATTAAATGGGATGACAGTTTCTCATTTCGAATCTGTAAAATTATATATATATATATATATATATATATATATATATATATATATATATATTTATTTATTTATTTGCAAATATACTTTCAACATTTGTGGGTGTATGGGAGTGTTGTTAGGATGATTACGACATGTTACTTTGAAAGGGAAAGAAAGAGGTTTTGAAAGCTTGTTCAGATGTCTTAATTAGACTTATTGTGCAAAACTCAAAAATGGAAGCTAGCACGCACAAAATAAGTATATTCTTTTTCGGAAATAATAAATAAACACAAATATATTGTGTTGACAATGAGTCTTTAGGACGTAGATCGGTAGATTCATATTATTATCTATATATCAATTATATTGATTATGCCACTGATATTATATAGTAATAAAATTGTATATAACTTTCGCAGCTTCGCTTATGAGTTAATACTTAATAGTATAACCATATTTAATCAAATGTTTTATTAAGGGCCCTTTTATTAATTAGAACATAACAATTGATTTGAGTTTTCTTTAAATATTTGTTATATATATATATATATATATATATATATATATATATATATATATATATATATATATATAT